CCCTATCACCAGCTTTCCTGTCCCCTCCTGCCTTCTAGGCCTTGTCCCTGGACTGCTGTGCCTCATTAGTCCCGTTTTGTTTTATGGGCCTGTAATCCCCGGCTGAATGGTGAACCTCAGGAGTGACTTCACCACTGAGCTAAAAGGGTGTCCAGGGGCCATACTCTCGGGTTTCTCCAGTCAGGCCAGTAAATCTGGACTTTTTTTGTGAGCTAGTTTGTTCTGTAAACCTTCATCTAAAGTACAATTAAAAAAAAAAAATTGTCCCACTGTTAGTGATGTTAAGTGTGATCTTCTGATGAAGGTTGTCACAACTCGATCTGTCCGTTATAACAATTCCCTTTTCCTGAGTCACCTGGTGCACCGTGCAGATATCTTGTTCCCAGATAACCTTTCACTTAAATATCTTAGCACCCTTGCTGGTACTTGTCTGGGTCAGTTACTGCTGTCACCAAAAGCCTTTGAAAGATGTGGTGTGATTGGTCACTCATTATGATGCACATCTGTTATTTACACAGTGATTTGTGGACTGATCAGCTAGCAGCAAAGACTGCACGGTTATGCAGTTACTCGCAGTTGATATACCATGGTAACTGACATTTGAACTGTGCTGTTGAAGGACGGGCATTTCTTAGCTGAACCGTGGTGACAAACTTGTACACATTTGAACTGCAAAGTGAGGACTGCTTGCACTTTGATTTACGTGATAGACAAGTGGAAATCTAAACTTCACCTCTGTTTGCCCTTTCTTCTAAATTGGGAGTAACAATGATTTCTGTGTTAATGAACCTATCATTGATATACAGGCTACAAAGGTAACACTTAAAATATTGAACTGTGTTTTTCTACTCCATACTAAATTATGGTTCTCTGTGGGGGGTTTGTTGTTGTTTTTAGATCGCATTTCAAAAGAGTCCAGCAAGATTTTTGAAGATGTCCTTGAGAGTTTCTGTTCGATTGATTGTATCAAATCACAGTTTGAAGCATGGCGTTCAAAGTACTACACGTCCTACAAGGATGCTTACATCGGCCTGTGTTTGCCAAAGTTGTTCAACCCCCTCATAAGGCTGCAGCTCCTCATCTGGACTCCTCTAGAGGTAGGTGCCGTAAGTTACTCTTAGGAAGCAGTATAACGTAAAGCCTGGGCAGTTTTAGTCCCTTAAGCTAGAGATGGAGGCTTAAGCAAAATACTTTTCAGGGGAGATACCAAAAAAACAAAACCAGTTGCCGTCGAGTCGATTCCGACTCCTAGCAACCCCGTAGGACAGAGTAGAACTGCCCCATAGGGTTTCCAAGGAGTGGCTGGTGGATTCAAACTGCTGACCTTTTGGTTAGCAGCCAAATGCTTAACCACTTCACCATAGGCTATATTAATTGATACAGATTGTATCTTGGTGTAATCTTACATCTTCCCTTTTAAGCTCTGTTATGGACTGAATTGTGTCCCCCAAGAATATGTGTTCTAAATCCTAACCCCTTTGCCCATGGTTCTAATCCCGTTTTGGAGCACTGGTGGCACAGTGATTAAGAGCTATGGCTGCTAACCAAAAGGTCCACGGCTCCTTGGAAATCCATTTGAGAATGGCTGTCTTTGTTAAGTTAATGAGAGGATTAGGGTAGGATGTGTCTTGAATCCATCTCTTTCGAGATATAAAAGAGATTAAACAAGCAAGAGAGAGAAGCAGAGATGGGGGAAGAGAGATGCCAAGAGAGAGCCGACGGAGAGAGAAAGCCTTCCCCTAGAGCCAGTGCCCTGAATTCAGACTTCTAGCCTCCTAAACTGTAAAAAAATACATTTCTGTTTGTTAGAGCCACCCACTTGTGGTATTTCTGTTATAGCAGCACGAGGTAACTAAGACAAGCTCCATCCCCCTCACGAGGTCTCTGTTGCTTGTCTTTATATACAGTGTCTTTCTCAGTCAGCTAAGTTATATGTAGTGACAGTGGAATATGCGAATGAACAGTAAGAACTGGGTCCTAGAGGAACTTAGAATCTTGGGAAAAGACAGTCAGGTAGGTGTGAAATGAGGGCCTGAACCAAGTCAGTGGTAATGGAAGTGGGGAGGGCGAGACGGGAGAATCAGCCGTACCTGTTGGCCTGCTGTATAACAGAGGAGACCAGAATTGACCACATAGGTCTAGTGGTTATGTTTAACATACAGTTTGGGAAGTTACCAGCATATGGGTGGAGCCACGGGCATGAAGGAGAGTAGCTGGGTTGAATGTGTAAACCATGAAGAAAAGAGGGCAGAGACTGAAACTGGGAGACACAACTGAAGAAAGTGTGAGCTTTGGGAGCCATTCAGCTGCCAGCCCCTCGCTGTCTGCCTGCCCGTGTGAGTCTCGCCTATGCGTGCGTGTCTTAGAATAAGCTCGAGAGCTCCCAAACAGCACCTCCCGGCCAAACAGTAGACTAGCACGTAAGATACACAGTAACACCTGAGAGGACGTACGCCTCACAGCAGTCCATTTTACAAGACGAAAAGGGCGTCAATCTGCTCGAAAGCAAAGACGAGAAGGCAGGAATGGGTCGAGAATCAGTTCGAAAGAAAATGGGGCAAACTGCGGAAATGGGGAGAGTGCTGACATATTGTGGGGAATGAAACCAAGATCATGCAACGCTTTCCGGGCAAACTATCGAATGGTTGAACGGGAAACTGATTTGCTCTGTAAGCTTTCGCTTAAAGCACACATGTATATGCACACACAAGCTCAGGAGCACCCCGTGTGTATTTCTAGAGTTCTCCTAAGTCAGGCGGCTCGCCTGCTTTGATTCCCTTCTTTTAAGGATCCTGATCCCGTGCTGCCTGTGGTCCATTGTCAGAAAACGTGTTCCATTCGTGTTGTTTACAATGGAAGGTTAAATCTATTATGACTAGAAGCAGAAATAGCCACTATTTTAAGTGCTTGAATAATCTCTTCAATATCTTTCTTGTAGGCAAAATGCCAGGACTTTGAGAGCATGCTGTGGTTCGAATCTTTGCTGTTTTATGGTTGTGAAGAACGGGAACAGGAGAAGGACGATGTAGACGTTGCACTACTACCCACCATCGTGGAGAAGGTGATTCTGCCAAAACTAACAGGTAAAGCCCCTGTTTGCTGAATTGAACGTCAGGAACGTTTGGTTTCTCAGTTCTGTTCTAAGAGAGTTTTTAATCCGATACATAGTTCCTCAGAGAAAGTATTATAAATGACAAATTTACCACCTGGCCCAGAGATAGCTGAAGGGCAGGGATTCTTGACCTGGGGCTTGAGTACCACGTGGGGGTGGGTCTGGGGTCTGGGGCAATAATTGATCCATAGGTGAGTTTTAGAGCCCTGGTGGTGCAGTAGTTAAGTGTTTGGCTGCTCACCAAAAGGTCAGCAGCTCGAATCCACCAGCCGCTCCTTGGAAACCCTGTGGGGCAGTTCTGCTCTGTCCTGTAGCGTTGCTATGAGTCGGAATCACCTCAGCGGCAGTGGGTTTGGGGTTGTGTGTGTGTGTGTGTGTGCGTGTGTGTGCGTGTGCGCGCGCATGTGTGTGCACGCGTTTCAGAGACTCCCAGAGCGCCTAGAGTGAGATTGAATGCGAGTTTTTCTGGAGAGCAGTTTCAGTGCTTTCATTAGTTTCTCAAAAAAGATTAGGAATCATTGATAGAGGAACCTATTTAAAATAGTAAATATAAATTTCTAGTTTAGTTAGAAGTTCTTGATGGCCAGAAGAGCATCTTTTGGGATATGAAAACCCTTTTTTCTCTTGCCTTTGTCTTCACTGAGTAGCAGAAATAGAGAAATTTATCCCCTGTCTTCATCCCTGCCCCTCACAGTTCCCATGGTTCATAGAACAAAGGTGACTGAAATTTTTATGTTGTAGAGAGAGAGGAAAAATAAATCAGTATTGGCATTTATAATTTCAGAACTGCTTGATATCAGATTTAAGTAAGTGCAATTTACTTCCATATATCAATACATTTTTTTCTTAATAGTGATAGCTGAGAATATGTGGGACCCTTTTTCTACAACGCAGACTTCAAGAATGGTTGGAATTACACTGAGATTAATAAATGGATATTCTTCTGTAGTGAATGCAGAGAACAGAAATACACAGGTAATTTAATGTTTATCTTCAGAAAGCTTTTTTTTTTTTTTTCTGTCTCTCTTTTTGAAAATGAACGGGGGTTGAGAATGAGTGGTCATGTTCTAAGCCAGCCAGAAATCTGATTTTCCTATCTAGACCAAAATTTTGAGATATTATAAAACTTAAGACAGTAGTTTCCAATTTTTTAAAAATGTATATCGGGGAGTGGACAGCCCCATAAAACCAAATGAGACAGGTACAGTAGTCCAGTGACAAAGGCCAGAAGGCAGAAGGGGACAAGGAAGCTGGTGATAGGGAACCCAAGGTTGAGTAAGGATACTTACTGTTGATGTGTTGTGAGATTGTTAACCATTGTCATAGGGCAACATTTGTAGTAACTGTTAAATGAGAAACTATTTTGTTCTGTAAGCCTTCATCTTAAGTGAGAATAACAGCACAATTGGAAGAGTGTAGTCAATGTCACTGAACTGTGCATGTAGAAATTTTTGAAATAGTGTATCTTTGGCTATGTGTATTTTCACCAAAAAAAAAAGATGTTGAGAAGTTAGAGGGTTGACATGTTGTGGGGTTGTTAACCAATGTCATAAAACAATGTGTGTACTACTGTTTCATGAGAAACTATTTGTTCTGTAAGCCTTCACCTGAAGTACAATTAAAAAAAAAAATGTATATGGAAGAAAGATGCTAACAGTCTGGACAGCATCTCATTTTTTACTATTCTCTTCACCCTCTCACCACCCCAGCCCCCCTCCAAATCTGATTGATCAAATCATATTTTGGGGGGGAAAGAAAACTTCAATACTAGAAGGGGTAGCAATTGAAATTTAAATGCTAAAACATTTAAACAGCATAGAAAATAACTAGTTATTGTTTCATAACTAGTTTCTAAACTTAAAATCGCTGCTCTCCCTCAGCGGCCATGCAGTGTGACAGTTAGATGTGAAAAGGGCGCTGTTATCATTGTTGTATTTTCACTGACTTGTTTTGAGAACCAGATTATGTATGATCTTAATCTTCATAGAGTAGACTAAGCGGTTGAAAGATTTCTAAGTGGCCTTTTTGCTTGGTGCTTGCTGAGGGGTGAATCAGTGGAGTAGTGAGTGTTAACATCCTTGGAACCTTCAGCGAGGAAAATAAAATATTTGAGGACAGTATATGCACAGTTTGAATATTTAGTGGATTTTATGATTTGAAATGTGGCTTATTTTTATTACAGGTTAACTTTGATCATAGCTCTTATTAAAATGTGTGATCTACTTTAACTATTTAGGTGTACCTAAAGGCGCTTCTGTTGAGAATGAGAAGGACCTTAGATGATGATGTGTTCATGCCCTTATATCCCAAAAAGTAAGTCGTTCTTAAGAACATGAGAGATAATAACCATCTCCATTCCAGAGAAGGCTTTTAAGTTCTAGAAAACTAAAGGTAGCTTGAAATATAAACCTAAGTAGTGTAAACCAGTATCCTAAACAGAATAGCTCAGTGGGGAAATTGTTCCCTTAAGTAGCATCAAGTAAATAAATATTCTTTGTTCTCCCTCAGTATCTCAGAATGAATTTTCATTACCTTTTAAACTTAACTAATTTCCAGAATATAATTGTTTGAAACTTTCAAAATCACTTGATTCCTTTGTTAACCTATTTTGCTTATAGAAATCTTTTCTTACAGGAATTATATGGCACTTGGTATATATAAGACATCTGATCATGGTGTTATTTTTATTTTTATTTTTTTTCCTTTTTAGTGTCTTAGAGAATAAAAATTCTGGGCCTTACTTGTTTTTTCAACGACAGTTTTGGTCTTCGGTTAAGGTATGTGACCTAGTGATCTAAAAGACTTCAGATGTTGTTTGACTTCATATATTATATTTTGAAAAGTATTTTAGTAATTGATTAAGTAACTTTATAGGCTTAGATTATTTCTCTATACAAAATGTCCGTTTTACAAACAGATCTTATTTCAAACTAATTTTAATTTCAGTTTGATGTTTCCATAGGAGAAGATGAATTCTGAGTTCCAAAATAGGGTCTAAGCTAGCCAGCAGAATACCTAGGTAGACCAGAATGAATGTACTCAGCAAGTAGGTCCAGGCCCTCCTCTAAAGTGTGGGAATATGTCAGTCAGTGAGACGGAAGTGGAGTCCTCATGGAGCTTACAGTCCAGCACAGTGGACAGATCGTCATCAGTGATCCCCATGTGATGAGTTAGGAAAGGGAGTTCAAGCTCATCTTGGAGCAGGTGGCAAGGGGCACAGAAGGTACCCCTCTGCCCTGAGGAAGTGATTTCAGTTACTAGACCAGGAGAGTAAGCCAGAGTTAGCCCTGAGGTGAGGGAGAGCAGGGTTCACTGGAGGATGTGAAGAGAGGCCAGCATGGCTGGGGTTAGAGAAGAGGGAAAGCAGGTCCCTGTCAACGGGCTGGTAGGTTGCGGGAAGGATTTGGGTCTTGATCTTAAAAATCGTGAGAAACCATGAAAGGATTTTTTAGTAAGGTATAATTTATATATGTAAATTCTGATGAACAAATAAAGCTATGTAATCACTACCAAGTCAAGATGTATAATATTCCCATCATACAAAAAAACTCCCCATCCCCTTTTGTGTTCGAGCCCATCGCTAACCCCAGGCCACCTCGGTGTGTTTATTGTCCCTGTGGTTTTGCCTTTGCAAGAATGTCTTATGAATGGAATGATGCAGTAGGTAGCCTTTTGAGTCTGGCTTCATTCACTTAATGCATTTGAGATTCATCCCTTTTTATTGCTGAGTAATATTCCATTAAGGAACCCTGGTGGCACAGTGCGCTCAACTGCTAGCCAGAAGGTCAGCAGTTTGAAACCATCAGCAGCTCCACGGGAGAAAGATGTGGCAGTCCGCTTCCATAAAGATTTACAGCCTTGGAAACCCCATGGGGTCACTATGAGTCGGAATTGACTCGATGGCAGTGGGTGATAGTCCATTGTTTTTTAATCCATTCTCCAACTGAGGACATTCAGGTTGGGTGGTATAAACATTCACATACAGGCTCTGTGTGTGTGTAAGTTTTTGTTTCACTTGGCTAAATACCTAGGCCAAGCTGTTTTCCCAAGTGGCTGTGTCATTTTGCATTCTTACCAGCAATACATGAGGGTTCCAGTTACTCCTCGTTCTACCACACTTGGTATTGTCAGGTTTTTTGTTTTGTTTTTAAGTCATTCTACTAGGTGTATAAAGGTATCTCGTTAATGGTTTCTATTTTCATTTCCGTAAAGACTGATGTTGACTGTATTTTCATGAACTTATTTGCCATCTGTATTTGTTCTTCGGTGAAGTGTCCCTTCAAACCTTTTGTCCACTATTTTTATTGGGTTGTTTTCTTATTACTGAGCTTTGAATTCTATATTCTGGATGCAGGTTCTTTATCAGATTTATGATTTGCAAAGAGTTTTTTTCCAGTCTTAAAGTGCGCAAGTTCTTAAGTCTTAAGAAGTCCCATTATCACTTTTTTTTTTACTGTGGATTGTACTTTAGCTATCATATCTAAGAAATGTATGCCTAACACAAGGCCACAGTTTCTGTCCTACCTTTTTTCCTAGAAGTTTCATAGTTTTAAACTACATTTTTGTCTTTGATACATTTTGAGTTAATTTTTATATAGGGTGTGAGGCATGATGGAGGGTCATTTGTTCAGCACTATTGTTGAAAAGACTATCCTCTCTCCATTGAATTGCTGTTATGTGCCTGTCAAAAATCAGGTGACCATATGTGTGGGTTATGGAAGGATTTTTAGCCCAAAGGGACGTGAACAAATTGTCATTTTTAAAAGATCACTCTGGCGATAATAATGAATAAGTAATAATGAAAATGGGAGCTAGTATTTTTGTGTATTTACTAGGTACTGAGCACTAAGCCATACACGTCTATAGATTGTCTTGTTGAATCTTTACCACAGCTTTCTGAGGTACGCTGTTAATCCCACTCTCCTGAGGGAGTGACCTGCCCTACGTCACACATGTCTGTAGGTTGTCTTGTTGAATCCTCAGCACGGCTTTCTGAGGTACACTGTTAATCCCACTCTCCTGAGGGAGTGACCTGCCCTACGTCACGCACGTCTGTAGATTGTTTTGTTGAATCCTCACCACAGTTTTCTGAGATACACTGTTAATCCCACTCTGCTGAGGGAATGACCTGCCCTACGTCACACACGTCTGTAGGTTGTCTTGTTGAATCCTCACCACAGCTTTCTGAGGTACACTGTTAATCTCACTCTCCTGAGGGAGTGACCTGCCCTACGTCACGCACGTCTGTAGATTGTTTTGTTGAATCCTCACCACAGCTTTCTGAGGTACACTTTAATCCCACTCTACTGAGGGAGTGACCTGCCCTACGTCACACACGTCTGTAGATTGTCTTGTTGAATCCTCACCACAGCTTTCTGAGGTACACTATTAATCCCACTCTCCTGAGGGAGTGACCTGCCCTATGTCACGCACATCTGTAGATTGTCTTGTTGAATCTTTACCACAGCTTTCTGAGGTACGCTGTTAATCCCACTCTCCTGAGGGAGTGACCTGCCCTACGTCACGCACATCTGTAGATCATCTGGTTGAATCCTCAGCACGGCTTTCTGAGGTACACTGTTAATCCCACTCTACCAAGGCACAGAGTGACCTGCCTTGGGTCATTCAGTTCAGTTGGTAAGTGGTAGAGACTGGAACCTAACTCAGGCCAGTCTGACTCTTGAGCAGCTCCTCTCAAGCCGAGTTTTGTGAGAGAATTAAAACCTAATGCCCTGAAGCCTCCACTGTATATAGCGAATTCTCTTCTCTTCTACCTGTCTAGAATGGTATTGGCTATGTACCGTCCTTGGGGAAGCTGAGTAACGAGTCACTCAAATCCTTCCCTGTAGGTTTTTCTTCTCTCCAACAACCCTACTTTAGAAAGGCTACTCCAGAGCTATGCTCGTAATCACATAAGTGACAAAAGGGTCCAGAAAGTGGTGGTGGCAGCATAGATCAGGGAGGTGGCAATGAGAACCAAACAAAATAGGCCGACTGCAGGAAAAGTCAGAGGACTTGAGGGAGGAGAGGTCAAGCATGGCATTTAGATTTCGGGTTGGATAGTGTTTCCATTTGCTGAGTTGAGAAGTACTGGGAAACTAGAAATGTTTATGGTCAGCAGAGGGTGGTAGATGACACCACCTTCCGTTGTATACGCATTGAGCTTGAGTTGCTTGAGATGTCCACGTGGTATAACAGGCTCAGTCCATGTTCCTGATCTGGTAGCTGTGCAGTGTTGTAGTCAAAAAGAATTTCCACCTTCTTTGGAACTAGAACTAGCTTAGGCATGATTTTGAAATGGAGGACATTTATCTAAAAGTCATCGCTGCCAGTAGTTCCTTCTGCAGTGTTCTGTATCTGTGCTGCCCATATGGTAGCCACTAGCCAACCAGAAAACCAAACCCGTTCCCGTCGAGTCGATTCCGACTCATGGTGACCCTACAGGACAGAGTACAACTGCCCCATAGGGTTTCCAAGGAGTGGCTGGTGGATTCGAACAGCTGACCTTTTGGTTAGCCATCGAGCTCTTAACGACTGTACCACCAGGACTCCAGCCACTAGCCACATGTGGCTGTATAAATTCTAGTTGCTTAAAAATTCAGATCCTCTCAGGGAACATCTAGCTCAATTGGCATGACACAGCTTATAAAGAGAACGCTCTACATTCTACCTTGGTGAGTAGTGTCTGGGGTCCTAAAAGCCTGTGAGCGGCCATCTAAGATACTCCACTGGTCTCATCCCTTCGGGAGCAAGGGAGAATGAAGAGAACAGGATACAAGGAAAAGATTAGTCCAAAGGACTAATTTGTCCACAGCTACCAAGGCCTCCACCGGACTGAGTCCAGTACAGCTAGATGGTGCCCGGCTACCACCACTGACTGCTCTGACCAGGATCACAACAGAGGGTTCTGGACAGAGCTGGAGAAGGATGTAGAACAGAATTCTAACTCACAAAAAAAGACCAGTTTTACTGGAGAGTATGGTCCCCAGACACCCTTTTAGCTCAGTGGTGAAGTTACCTCCAAGGTTCACCGTTCAGCCTGGGAGTGGACAGCCCCGTAAAACCAAATGAGACTAAAGAGGTACAGGAGTCCAGTGACAAGGGCCAGAAAGCAGAAGGGGACAAGGAAGCTGGTGATAGGGAACCCAAGGTTGAGTAAGGATATTGTTGATGTGTTGTGAGATTTTTGTTAACTATTGTCATAGGGCAACATTTGTAGTAACTGTTAAACGAGAAATTATTTTGTTCTGTCAGCCTTCATCTTAAGTGAGAATAACAGCACAACTGGAAGAGCGTAGTCGATGTCACTGAACTGTGCATGTAGAAATTTTTGAAATGGTGTGTCTTTGGCTATGTGTATTTTCACCAAAAAAAAAAAAAAAAGATGTTGAGAAGTTAGAGGGTTGATATGTTGTGGGGTTGTTAACCAATGTTACAAAACAACATGTGTACTTCTGTTTCATGAGAAACTATTTGTTCTGTAAGTCTTCACCTGAAATACAATAAAAAAAAACCTGAAAAAAAAAAATTCAGATCCTCCGTTATACTAGGAAATATTTGGACCCTTTAAAGGTGCTTATTGTTTTGGTAAGACAGTGTCCATTCTGTTTCAAGTGGTATTTTACTGTGTAGCTGATTTACTTTGTACGTAATTTAATTGCTTAACATTGCCTCTCAATTTTTTTTTTTTCTTTTTTCTAGTTACTAGGGAATTTTCTTCAATGGTATGGCATCTTCTCAAATAAAACTCTACAGGAGTTGTCAATAGACGGTTTACTAAATAGGTATATTCTCATGGCTTTTCAGAACTCAGAGTATGGAGATGACAGCATCAAAAAAGCTCAAAATGTGAGTTAAACGATAAGGACCATACCGGAGTTTTTAAAGCATAGGCATTTACATAAGTTTTCGTTTGTTTGAAGAGGAATTTGAGAATATTAAGAAACCCCCTTGGTCATTGGAGTTGGTATAAGGTTGACCCTCAGTTTGCTTACCCAGGTATTTCCAAACCCCGCAGCATTTTTAAAATAAAAGTATTTTTTGTTACGTGTGTATATACGTGTGTATCTATCTACCTGTCTGTCTATATCAGTATTTGTAGGGGTTAATAAAAGTTTTTATTTTGGGATAATCATTTTATTACAGTTGAGTGACTGTTAACTTTGAGTGTTACCAAAGAAATGGTTTCTTTTCTCATTTAAGAAATAATTATATTTAATACTGTTTTGTTTTCTACTTTATATACATTGAGTTACATATTTTTTTTTAAATCTTTTTTAAAAATACTCTCTGAAACAATCCCAAAACTAGAGAAATTTGCAGGTTTAGTACAGAGAGTTTTTTTCCCTTGACCCATGTCAGATTAAGTCTCAGACCTGAAGCCCTACCCCCCTCAGATGCTTTTCTGTGTATTTCCTAGATGCTTTTCTGTGTATTTCCTACAAGCATGGTTATTCTCCCGCATGCTCACAACATAACCATCAGCATCAGAAAGTCAGCATTGATAGGTTCCTGTCACCTAACCCTCGGGTTTTGTCCTCCGTCCCAGCTGCATTCGTCATTGGCAGAAGAAAACCCTGGATGATGCATTGCTCTTAGTTGTCAGGTCTCTTTCGTCTCCTTGAACCTGGAAGAGTTCTCCAGCCTGTCCTTGACTTTCACAGCCTTGATGCTTGTGAAGATGATGGAACAGTCATTTTGTAGAATGCCCTTCATTTTGGGGGAAACTTTTCTTCCTTTCTGGCACAAAATGTTTCCGCCTCACCTCGTACTTGTTCTGCCCTAGATCCTGTCGTTTCTGCAAGGATCCCTGGGTCAGTTTCAGGGCCCTGATTTATCTAATATTGGATGAGTTCTCTTTTGCTTTGATTTACCTGACCTACCTGTTGGAATAAAAATTCAGGTATATTTGTGTAGTTAATGTAGGAAGTCAGGTTTGAAAGATTATCGTCCTTTCAGAGTAATTAGTTACATATAGCGCGATAGCAAACCTTCTAGTTAAATGCATTATACCTGTTACCTAGACTCAGCTTTTGGCTATTTTCATTTATTCTATTTTAACTCTTTTATTTTACATTTTTCTTTATAGGTAATCAGTTGTTTTCCCAAACAATGGTTCGTGAATCTGAAAGGAGAAAGAACTATTTCTCAGTTAGAAAACTTCTGTCGATATCTTGTACACTTAGCGGATACAATTTACAGAAACAGTATTGGGTGCTCCGATGTGGAAAAAAGAAATGCAAGGTAATTATTTCTAATTATTTAATGAGATGGTGATCTATATATAGTTCCTTTTCTTGGTTGTTTGATTTAATGTTATTAAAATGTTGTAAGTAGAGACTTGTTTATATTTTAGTTTAAATTGTATGCTTACTTAGTATTGGCAAGCCTACCAAAATACACATAGTGCTTCATTATTGCAGTTTTAAACCTTTTTTCAGTATGTTTTTTGTGAAAGTATTAAGACTTCTGGTAAGAACTGAAAAGCCCCTAGGGGAATGAGTAAACCCGTTTTCTGTGTCTTCTCCCTTGAAGAACTCGGGTGCTCTGAGGCTCCTTGGTCTTTGGAGGTTCATTATATAGATATAAACCCTGGAAAAGATAGTCACTTAAACCCAAAGTAGATTGAAAGGTAGCGTTGGCCCTCCGTATCCACGAGTTCCACATCTGTGGGTGGGGCCCAGCAAAATAGGTGTTTTACCAGCCTTCTAGGTAATTCCGATGCACATTAAGCTTTGAGGATTACTTAATGATAAGAAGGCAGAATGGCTTCTAGCTGTGGTGATAAGGGGAGCCATGCTATGCTTTGTGACTTTGGGAGGTCTGGAGATGATGCTGGATCTTCATGGGTTGGTGAGGACACACAAGTAGAGCTGGTGTCCCAGCTGTGCTCCACAGGAGCGGGGACGCTGGCTTGGGAAGGACTAGGAGACAGGACTCTTTCCTGTTCAGGGGTTAATGAAAGTCATTGATCTGAATGAAATGGGTTTTGTTTTGTTTTTAAATGAGTGCTCCAACTTTGGGCTAGTTATTTAAACATATACAAAGTTTCAATTTATAAAAATAACATGTTTTTACATGCTGCAGCTTGCTTACCTTTTTTCTGTTTTTTGGAAAAATATATGTTTGGTAAAAATTAATTGCAAAGTCTCTAAAATAGTCATAAAGTGAATAGCAAATTTTCCCTTAAAGCCTTTTGTATTAATTAATGAGATGCTACCACTATATTCTTTCTTTCTTAGGGAAAACATAAAACAGATAATAAAACTACTTGCAAGTGTTCATGCTCTGGATCATGCTATGACTGTTGCAGGTGACCACAATGTCAAAGAATTTAAGTCTTTGATTGAAGGAAAATAGATGCAGGCGACTGGAAAAAGGAAAATAGATCTATGTGACTCAAAAGCCTACTCTTTGCTTGAATACCATTCCCATTGTATAAATTTTGTATATATGTAAAGTTTCTTAAACTGTAAAATATTGATTCTTGTTTTAATACAGAGAGCATTATTATATTCAATACTGTGTCCTTATATGTGATTCCTTTGGAATGAAAGGAGTTCAGATCATTTCTAGGAGTCTATGAACGTTTTCCTTACTGCCTGTCATACTTTGTTTACAGAAGTATTTTGTATGGCCATTAAAATTAGCCCTTGCAGTTAATTGCCCTCTGTAAACAATGTGTGCAGTGTAAATTGTGTAATTATGCATATATGTATTTATACCACCATGGAGTTAACTTTCACACTGGAAATTTGGGGTGTTTTTCTACAGAGTAAGCCTTTTAACAGAAAATTATTCAGTAGCAAATCGTCTTAGGGCAGTTACTACACATTGCAACAAAGGGCTGGCAGGTGATTAAATGTCTGTCACCTTTTGGTTCGCAGTTGCTGTCACAGCAGAGTCGAGTTGTGGACTGTGTCAGGTGGGTGGGGAACTTTCTCCCTCGAGTCGGCATTACAGCGAAATGTGGATTTAATATGAACTCCAACTAATATATGCAAAATCGTTCAGGTGGAACACAGATGTTTAATTTTTAAAAATAACAAACCCACAGCTAAACTGCATGGTTTTGGGCTGACCGTCCTGTCTCATTCCTGATCTTACTCCCTGGCCAGCTTACAAATACATGCATTTGAACTTTAGTAGTTTGTCATTGTATTTCAGATCCCACATATGTGAGCTATATATGCAATAAAGAATACGCCTTGCCGATTAGCTACACCCAGGCAGTTTACCGTCCCATGGTCTTCTGTAATGTTTATACCACACTGTACATATTCAGAGAACTTGTTTTAAAGTTTATGCTTTCTGATTCTGTGATTTTCAAAAGAGGAACTTTTTGGAAATTAAGGACTATTGTTTGATAATTACATATGTAATTACGCTTTAGCCATGCATTAAATTAATTTTTAAATAATCCTTTGTTGTATTTTGCTGGTGCCTATTTTTAGTTAGAGCATTTTAAGTGACTCTAATATACGGGGTCCATGTGTACCCTTGGTCAAGTTAAGTAATATTTAGAACAGTGTCATGCATTTTAATTGCTGTCAGTTTTATCTTTATGTAGGAACATTTGCTTATTTTTGCATACTTGTTTTGGATGATTTTTTTTGTCATGCCTTATTGGCTTATGTCTTAGTTATCTAGTGCTGCTGTAACAGAAATACCACAAGAGAATGGCTTTAACAAAGAGAAATTTATTCTCACAGTCAAGGAGGCTAGAAGTCCGAATTCAGGGTGCCAGTTCCAGGGGAAAGAATTCTGTCTCTGTCGGCTCAATCTTCCCTGGTCAAGGAGCTTCTTAGCGCAGGGACCCCAGATCCAAAGGACACGCTATTCTCCTGGCTCTTGCTTCTTGGTGGTTTGAGGGCCCCCTGTCTCTCTGCTCCCTTCTCTCTTTTATATCTCAAAGGACATTAATTTATACACAACCTAATCTTGTAGATTGAGTCCTGCCTCATTAACATAACTGCTGCTAATCCCACCTCATTAACATCATAGAGGTAGGATTTACAACACATAGGAAAATCACATCAGATAACAGTGGTGGACAATCACACAATACTGGGAATCATGGCCTAGCCAAGTTAACACACATTTTTTGGGGACACAATTCAATCCTGACAGCCTACTAAACAGGATTGAAATCAGAACACTTATTCTCAATTTCAGTGGAATACAACATGTAAACATGTATAATATGTATATCTTTTGGACCTTAAACTGTATTTTCCTAAATGTACTGGACTGATTACTTACATCTGCTTTTAACGACTCTTAAAATAAACAAAGCAGTATGTTGACAAGAGAACTGCCAGAAATTCAGGCTGGATTCAGAAGAGGATGTGGAACCAGGGATATCACTTCTGATGTCAGATGGATCCTGACTGAAAGCAAAGAATACCAGAAAGATGTTTACCTGTGTTTTATTGACTATGCAAAGGCATTGGACTGTGTGGATCGTAACAAATTATGGATAACATTGCGAAGAATGGGAATTCCAGAACACTTAATTGTGCTCATGAGGAACCTATACATAGATGAAGAGGCAGTTGTTCGGACAGAACAAGTGGATACTGTGTGGTTTAAAGTCAGGAAAGGTATGCGTCAGGGTTGTATCCTTTCACCCTACCTGTTCAATCTGTATGCTGAGCGAATAATCCAAGAACCTGGACTATATGAAGAACGGGGCATGGGATTGGAGGAAGACTTATTAACAGCCTGTGTTATGCAGATGATACAACCTTGCTTGCTGAAAGTGAAGAGGACTTGAAGCACTTAATGAAGAAGATCAAAGACCACGGCCTTCATTATGGATTACACCTCAACATAAAACAAAAATCCTCATAACTGGACCAATAAGTAACATCATGATAAACGGAGAAAAGATTGAAGTTGTCAAGGATTTCATTTTACTTAGATGCACGATCAACACCCATGGAAGCAGCAGTCAAATCAAAAGACGCATTGGGTGAATCTGCTGCAAAAGATCTCTTTAAAGTGTTGAAAAGCAAAGATGTCACCTTGAAGACTAAGGTGAGCCTGGCCCAAGCCATGGTATTTTCAGTCCCATCATATGCATGTGAAAGCTGGACAATGAATAAGGAATACCAAAGAAGAACTGACGCCTCTGAATTGTGGTGTTGGAGGAGGATATTGAATATACCATGGACTGCCAAAAGAATGAACAAATCTGTCTTGGACGAGGTACAACCAGAATGCTTATTAGAAGCAAGGATGGTGAGACTACTTCTTACATACTTTTGACATGTTATTAGGAGGGATCAGTCCCTGGAGAAGGACGTCATGCTTGGTAAAGTACAGGGTCAGTGAAAAAGAGGAAGACCTTCAACAAGATGGATTGACAGAGTGGTTGCAATAGGCTCAAGCATAACAACGATTGTGAGGATGGCGCAGGACCAGGCAGTGTTTCGTTCTGTGGTACGTAGGGTCGCTGTGAGTCAAAACTGACTCAAGGGCACGTAACGACGACAGTAAGATTTTTTGTCCTGTGGGACTTAATGTAAGCTAGATTTAGGACAAAAGGCTCTCATATCCCAGTCAGAAAATTTTCATTCCTCAAATAGCTAAAGGATGTTACTTCTTATGAAGTGAATTCCCAAAAGATAAATCGGCATTTTAATAAAGCTGAAGTTATTATGTCTTTTCATTTTTTCTTTTGGGGTAGTCCTCTGAATTAACTCCATTTTATCAAAAGTGCCTAGAACAGTACCTGGGAGGTGCCGATAAACGTTCAGTAAGCATTTGTTGAACATAACCGTCTTCTAAGGAAGAAAGTGGAAGCACAAGAGTCGGTTACTCATAGCTACATAGCATGTTCTTCTTGTTCTTTTCACTAAGCCTAGCAGGTTTCAACATCTTTTTTTTTTTGTTCAAGCAATCAGTTGGTTTATTGTACTAAGAATCCCAGGAATTTATAATCCAATATATAAAAAAAAAAAACTACTTCGATCTTTGTCTATTTGACAGAGGAAAATGTTTGATGTGCATTTCGATGCATTTTATTGATCTATTTTTCAGGTAATTGAGCTTAAAAAAATAGGTAAGGTTTTTGAAAACGAAAGTTACTGAGACAGTATACACACACCACACTGGTTAATACTGTAGCAAATTACACTGGTTACCCACCTGTATCCCTGTTCATGCCACTGCTGTCCTCCTTCAGGCACCTGCGGCTGTGCGCAGGGCCCCCTCTCGGCCCGTGTCCTCCTGCGAGCACCTGCGGCCGTGCGCATGGGGCCCCCTCTTGGCCTGTGTCCTGTAACCACCTGCCGCTGTGTGGCTGTGTGCGGGTTTCTCTTGGCCTATGCCACTGACGCCCCTGCGAGCAGCCCTCAGCCAGTGAAGGAAGTTGGGGGTAAGCACCCCAATATGTTGGTGCAGGCCCTCTGAGGAGCAGACACCATGATGGCATTAGAAGTACAAGAAATTGGGGCGGTGGGGAGGAGCCGGATCTGGAAAAGTCTGGGAGTGCCATCAGAACACGAAGACCCCTGTAAAGGAGGTAAGGAAGGTCTTAGACTTCAGTGCAGTCCTAAGAAAGCTTCAGCAGGCCGATGGAGACCTCAGCCCCAAACTGCCCTTCAAAGGAGTCCCGTTCCCCCCGGAAGTGGGCCTGCTTTTGCGTCCTTCCGTCATTGGTGGAGAGCAGCTGTGGGGACCATGGCTGGGTACAAAACTGAAGTGTGTTCCCCAGGGTGTCCCGTTGATTTGAGCCAGATTTACCTGTCGGGGTAACCTCATTAACACCCAGAATTGGCCAAAAATAGCACAGGTCTCAGCACAAGGACCTTCCTTACTAGAATAAAATGTAGAATTAGACAACATTCTTTTTTTTTTTTTAAAAGCCAGGTTTATTGAGGTATAATTTATAAACAGTAAAATTTACCCTCTGTAACTGTACAATTCAACGAGTTGACAAATGCCCAATTTTGTCTTAAATGCTAATTTCGCTTGAGATCACATAGCCCTCAGAAATGGTCAGACATAGGACTGCAATACACATTATGAAAATATAAGTAGCTCCGTCATAGTGGTTCCTCATGGTCAAAAGAGCTCTTCTAACATGGTAATATCCACACAGTAAAGGCTGTTCCGACTCACGGCGACCCTACAGCACAGAGTAGAACTGCCCCATAGGGTTTCCAAGGCTCTAATCTTTATGGAAGCAGACTGCCACAGCTTCTTCCCGTGGAGCAGCCGCTGACCTTTCAGTTAGCTGACATTTTGGTTAGCTGCCGAGCACTTTACCCAGCAGAGCTCCCTATGGGTTGGAATCGACTCTACCGTACCAGCTTTTAAAGAGTGTTGCCATTCACCCATTAAACAAAAAACCAAACCAGCTGTGGTTGAGTTGATTACAATTCATAGCGACATTATAGGACAGGGTAGAACTGACCCATAGTATTTCCAAGGAGCAGCTGGTGGATTAGAATTGCTAACCTTTTGGTTAGAAGCTGAGCTCTTAACCACTGTGCCACCAGGGCTCCATTCACTTACGCCAGAACATTTTGATCTGTTGTACCAAGTCCATGAAAATGAGCAAAATTAAGCACTAGAACTTCTATATGTAGAGAACAGTGAACTATGTATGTTTGGGAGGTCTTATACTTCCGTAAGAGGAGCCTAGGTGGCACAGCGATTAAGTGCTCAGCTTCTAACAAAGGTTGGCAGTTCTAATCCACCTAGCAGCTCCTCAGGAGAAACACCTGGGGATCTGCTCCTGTAAAGATCACAGCCAGGTAAACTCTATGGGGGCAGTTCTACTCTGTCACGTGGGGTCGCTATGAGTCAGAATCGACTCCATGGCACCTAACATGCCACCATACTTCCACGAAGCTGTCATTGCCCAAAACGTTTATTGGAGACTGCCCTCCGGAACTGAAACTCTGTGGATACGAGGTTCAGAACTGCTAGGAGCAGGTTCAGAATGCCAGCAAAGGCAGATAGGCTCAAAATTGTTACATGAGATTCACAGTGATGTGCAGCATGGACTGGTCCTGATCCTGCTTCTGGACCTCTAGGTGTTCCCTTACTCCCTATCAGCTCTAAGCAAGGCTTAGAGGTTAGAATCACCCAGTACAATGAGACTGCCTAGCACGGCATTTTTCAGAATGTGTATTGTGGCCCACTACTTCTTAAGCTCTTGCTTAAAAATACGTTTAGGAAAATGTACGTTATGTCCTGTGCTTGATAAATCCTGAAGAAACCATTTGAAGCCACTTTGCAAAACCCTTTGAGTGTGAAAGCTTACCTTAGCCATGTAACCTTGGTGAAATTCCAGAGGCACCTGCTGCTTAGGGACCAGAGCCACCTTGAAGAGTGAACGTCCTGCAGCTCTGATCTCAGGAAGGCCAAGACCTGTTAGGGCTCTGGTCCTTTGATGTCCAGGAGAGTCCTTGTGTGTCATTAAAATAAACCCCCTTCACTTGAGCGTTCCGGAGGTGGCCTCCTGCTCCAAATGACAGCACTCCATTGTTGTCACACACAAGTTACAAGTTCTGTTTGCTCCAGTAGCAAAAATTTCCCACCTATTGTATGTGTGAGTATTATTTCAGTCTGAGTTTTTAATTTTATTCTCACAGTAATTCTGCTCTCAAGCTTATATTTTCTACTTACAGGATTTCACTTTTTCCAATTTAAAAGCTTGTCCTTCACTGATCACTATGAACTTGTTCGGTGCTGTCGAGTTGGTTCTGACTCATAGCGACTCCATGTACAACAGAACGAAATGCTGCCCAGTCCTGCACCATCCTCACAGTCATTGCTATATTTGAGCCCATTATTGCAGCCACTGTATCAATCCATCTTGTCGAGGTCTTCCTCTCTTTCACTGACCCTCTGCTTTACCAAGCATGATGTCCTTCTCCAGGGACTGGTCCCTCCTGATAATGTGTCCAAAGTATGTAAGACAAAGTTTCACCATCCTTGCTTCTAAGGAGCACTCTAGCTGTAATTCTTCCAAGACAGATTTGTCCATTCTTCTGGCAGTCCATGGTGTATTCAGTATTCTTGGCCAACACCATAATTCAAATGCATCACTTCTTCAGTGTTCCTTATTCATTGTCCAGCTTTTGCATGCATATGAGGCAATTGAAAATATCATGGCTTGGGTCAGGTGCACCTTAATCCACAAAGTGACATCTTTGCTTTTTTAACACTAGTCTCTTGCAGCAGACTTGCCCAATGCAATGTCTCATAGTTAAAGCAAATAGCTAATGGTATTTGTAACCTAATGTTGCATCACCTTTCAAGACCACTGTTTTCTCTTTAACAAGGAGCCACCCTATTCTATGTATTAATAGATCTCTGGAGCCCTGGTGGTGCAGTAGTGAACAGCTCGGCTGCTAACCGGAAGTTCAGCAGTTCGAATCCACCAGCTGCTCCTTGGAAACCCTATAGGGCAGCTCTACTCTGTCCTGTAGGTTAGCTATGAGTCAGAATCGACTCTATAGCACTGGGTTGGTTGGTTTGTTTTTAGTGTCTAATCTCCCTCTGCCTCCCTTTGATAAAGACACTCATGACTGCATTTGGGGTCCACCCAGATAATCCAGGATCATCTCCCCATCTAAAGATCCTTAACTCAATCACATCTGCAAAGACCATTTCTCCAAATAAATTAACTTCACAGGTCCCAGGGATTAGGACGTGGGTCCCTTTGGGGAGGCCATTTTTCAGCCTCCCACGGGGCCTGTCACTCTTCAGTTTCAGGGGTCAGAAGGGCCAGCCTGTCTCTGCAGGGCCCTTAGGACACACTAAGAAGTTTGTGTATGCCACTGAACCTATATTTTAAGTCAGACAGCCCCAAAGACACTTTTCAAGTTTGTTGTACACAATTGTCCAGCAGTTTTCAAGTACTGTAGCAAACAGAAGTATAATAGGAAAGAGGGACAAGAATAAGAAGGAATAATGTTTAAAAAGCCACTAGTAAAATTACCCTTATTTATTTCAAGCCCTGGACATGTGCTTACCTCCTGGCTAAAATGATGTATTTTAAGAATTTGCAAAAGCTGTGACCTTCTACTGATAAGTCTAGCAACGAGAGCCCCGCCACCCCAGTTCAATTTGACTTCAAAGATTGGCAATTCCAGCCCAGAGCCAAGAAACTTTGATGTCAATCTTCTTAGTCCAAAATCAAAAGGAACTAGAAATAGGCAGAACAATTGCTTCCATGAGAGCCTAGCACCCACGCTTCCCGCTCTGAGAAAGGAGGGGTTTCTAGTGTAGGGGTGCAGTGGAAGACATCTTGGGTTTGGGTTGAGCAAGTACGGTTTCAAGTCCGAGCCCCAGTTGATTTTCAGCAGGTTAACTTTCCTGGCTCTCAGCTGCCATGAAAGGGAAAGTCCCAAGCAAGGCATGTGATAACATTCACATCTCTCCTGGAGCTGTGATCTTCCATGTGTTTTTCTGGCACATACCTCTGTGTGCAGACCTTCAAGAATATAGAGGTATCATACCTGAAAAGGAAAATGAGAAAAATTCCATTCTCACCCACTCCCATATAGTTTTGTCAATTGCAATCTCTAATTGAAATGGAATCCTCTGGAAAGAAAAATTAGTAACCCCTGACCAGTAGATACCCAAAAAAATCCAGTTGCCTTCAAGTTGATTCCAACTCATAGTGACCCTATAGAGTTTCCAAGGAGCACCTGGTGGATTTGAACTGCTGACCGTTTAGTTAGCAGCAGTAGCTGTTAACCACTACGCCACCAGGATTTCCAACCAATAGATAGATGATCTTAATATGAGTTTAATTCTGAGACTACTGTTCATAACCTCTGCAGAGAGGAAAGCACATTTTCTAGGGAGACAGTAATAAGTGCAAAAGGAATCTCTTGTTCTCAGAACTAAATCCAAGTAGCTTTGTGTTTCTCCTTCCTGACCTGCATGTGGCTTCTCTTCTAGTGAGTTACAGCTACTTCAGCATTCCTCAAAGCAGGGTGCGTTCAGCTTCTCTAAAATGGGTGAAGAAATGCTAAATCAAGCACATGACAGGGCCTGGAAGGGAAATGATTTTGTGCAACATTCCAAATTTAAATTCTGCTCCTGCAGTTAAAATAAAAGTAAGAAGGGGAAGAGATAAAGAAAAAGCAAAGGCAAGTGGAAATAGTTTCTCACAGTGCTGGTTTCCTCGAGTTTTCAATTCCCCTTTGGCCCTGTTTGCTTTGATTTGATTCCCATATTAGGTCTAGTAAGTGGAAACAGAACGAGAAGTCTATAGAATACACTGATTTGCCAGGAAGCATGAACTGAAATGAGGATGGGACAAAAAGTTAGATGCCTTTAGCTGCTACGTTCAGCGACGAATGACCGGAGTTGCCTCGGCCTCACTACGGCTAGGTTTTCACTGAGTCCTGAGATCCTGGTTTGTGCCTTCCCACTCGACCCTACCTACCGCTGAACAGCCTTTTCTATAGCATTCCTAGAGGGTTCCAGCACACACAAGAAGGAAGAACAGGCAGCGAATGGGATTGTTCCAAAGCAGGCTCTAGCTTTTCTTCCTGCTACCTACCCGGAGGATTAGAGCAAGAACTCTGCGCTGTTGGCTGCGAGACACCATGGACAGCTCTCCAGGCGCCACCTGGTTGGCCCGGCGAGTTGGCCGTCCCGGGCCCTCCCCTCGCCCGTCAGGCCCGGCGGGGGCGGCAGGGGGTGGTCCTGCCACCCATCTTGCGCACGTAGCAATACCTAGCCCCAAATCTTCTCCCCCAGGCGCCCACGGGGAGCGTTGGCAAGCTCTAAACATCCCACGCGAGAGGCCCGAGGAGGCCGGAGGCGCCCTCTCCTCGCCTCCGCAGTCGCCCTCTCCTCGCCTCCGCAGTCGTGGGACCCCCAGTTGCCGCCCGGGGAGGACAAGACGCAGGAGGCCAAAGTCCCAGCAGGTGGCGAGGCTGCAGCTCGCGGGGACCAGGCCCCGCAGCTTGGCCTCGCGTAGGCGGGGTCTCCCTCCTTGCGCCCCGCCTCTTCGCCGCGAGGGGCGGGCCTTCCGCCCCCGCCGCGGCGCAATGCGGAAGAGCTGGGCCTGCTGGAGCGGAAGTGACGCTTCCGGCGGCGGCGGCGGCGGCGGCTGTGGGAGGAGGAGGAGGAGCCGGAGGAAGAGGTGAGGCGGGGGGTGGGGAGCGATCGCGGGCTGAGCGACCGGCGGCCGGCGGGCGGGCGGCGCTTCCCGAAGGGTTCTGCCGCCGCGGCCTGGGCGGAGCGGTGAGGGGCGGCCGGGTCCCGGGGGCAGGCGGGCTGTGAGGAGAGGCCACGGCGTGCGGGGCGCCGGGCCGGGGACCGAGGTGACAGCGCCTGTCAGACTGCCGCGCGGACCGAGCGAGTCGGGCTGGGCGCCGGTCGTTGCTTCTGGCGCATCATGGAGAGTGGGCTGCTCGGCGCCTCTGTCCCCCAGGGAGGGAGCCCCTTTCCGCGCGGCCGGCTTCCCGGGACCCCGAAAAACCCCATGTCCCCAGCCATGTCTCCTCGGGTGGCCATTCATACACCGGAGCCGGCGACAGCCTGTGCCGCTTGCCGTACCCTTCGCCGCCACCTCGGGGGAGCCTGTGGGTCGGCTAATCCTTCCCTCCTCCGGCCCTAAGGAGCTGTGAAGCGGCTTGGCTAACCTTCCCTCCCACCTCCTCGCCTTCCCCCTCGAGGAACGGCTTCAAGTTTCCCACTGGGTTCCGTGTGAGCGTAGTGACAAACCTTGAAACAGGAAGCTGATAAACAACTCCGAACGCAATGCGCTCAAAATTTTCCTTTTCGGTGAACATAAATGAAACGGGAAACTCCTCCTAACCAAACCGTTGGTGGACTTACAGTGGGACAAAACCTTGTCTTGCCTTGCCATGAGAATTGGTAGCTTTTCTTCTTGCTTTTTGGCAGAATCAAGTGCGACTTCTGTTTTTTGGAATAAGCCCTTCTTCCCCTGAGCTTCCCCCCCCCCTTTTTTTCCTCCCCACCCCGCAGGCAAACCTGGCAGGGAGGAACTTGATGTCCTGCAGTCATCACTGCAGAAGGAAACATTAGCTTCATTTGCTTCGTTTTGCTTGGGTTTTCACAGGGCTGCCTCTGAAGAAAGGAGGATGGCGTTCAGCAAAGGATTTCGAATCTATCACAAATTGGATCCCCCACCGTTCAGCCTCATAGTGGAAACTAGGCATAAGGAAGAATGTCTCATGTTCGAGTCTGGGGCTGTGGCAGTACTCTGTAAGTCTTGTATAGCCCACCTGGTCATTGTTTTGATAGGAAATCATTCCAATTCAACCTTTTTTTTTTTTTTAAAAAAAAAAAGAGAAGACCTTGACAACCCCCTTACTGTATTTCATCGAGCAAATTATGCTTTTATTTTCTTTTATTCAGAGCTATTTCGTTGTAAATTCCATCTTCTGCAGGTTGGTTTGTTTGGTTTGTTTTTTTTGTGGAGGGCCCTGCTGGTTTCAGTTACAGTTTTTTTTGCTTCCTTGGGTTTTTCTGATGTTTCTAAAAGTAAATCTTTATTTCCTTATAAATACTGTAAGAGTTTATAGCATATTCCATAAGCTCATAAACTTGCTTGCTTGACGTTTTTACTGTCATGAACAGACTTTATTATAGATTAGTTGTAGTAGTAGACTATAAGAGTATTTATTTGTCAGATAATATTCGAATATCATATAGTGAGGCCCTTATATTTTCATGAGGATGAATGTAAACAACTTCTAGAATTTCATGTGGGATATGCAATTGATTTAATTTTATTTTTTAAATTATTTTTATAGCTTATTTTAAAGAAAAAGTTTACTGTGCCACAAGAAAAACAGTAGGTTACTATGGTTTGGATTATTTTGTGAGCAGATATATGATGTTAAAAATTAAAAGATTAATTTGATTATTACATTTTTTTCTTAATATGAGATTTAGACGGATAACGTCACTTTGGGGTTATTTCAAATATGATTGTGTTTTTTAGAGGCTTCCTGGTGATGACACTTGTTCTTTAACATAGTTTTATTATCTTAGCATCACTTTAATTACTGGTCATATTTTTACGAATTAAAATAGTGTTTGAAAAGCATACTTGTAAGCTCTTAGATATTTTAAACTATTAAACTTTTTCCAGACTCAGTAAGCAAAGAGCTTAAGATTATAATCTTTGCATACAGAGTATTAATGTTATAAGTGTTAACCTGATCTTAATACTCTAAAATAGTAAAATTTTATCCTGGTTGGGGAAAAGTGAACTGATATAATGAAAAATCTTCAGCAAAGAACAGTGTATAAGAAATATGTAATTTTTGGTACAAATGGTAAGATGGTTTGAGTGAGAGGAAGGAGCTGTACGTGTTCCAAGAAACAAGCGTAAATAATACTGCTTATACTTAATCAAAAACCAAACCAAACTCACTGCCATCCAGTCGATTCCGATTCATAGCAACCCTATAGGACAGAGTGGAACTGCCCCATACAGCTTCCAAGGCTGCCACATCTTCCTTCCTCGGAGCAGCTGGTGGGTTTGAACTGCCAACCTTTTGGTTAGCTGCTGAGCGCTTTAACCATTGCATTACCAGACTCCTTATATTCAGTCAGTATGGCTCTAATTGCTTCAAACTGTTCTTTAGACTTAAATAAGCCACCGTATAACTTGCTACGATATTAATTTGCATAGGATGTTTTTTTCATACTGAAAATATAGTTCTTATACTGTTAAATTCTTAATTAAAAACATGGAGCAGGGGAGGCTTGGTTGAGTACTGTGAAACTGCTTGTGTTTTTTGGTGACATTCCCTGATTCATCTTGTCCAAATCATAAATGTTTCTTTAACTGTGGTCACTGGTAATGGGCAGTCAAATTTCAGCTACAAAGCACGTATGTGTTACTTACATTTTTAGGATTATTGCTATCCATTATTCCAAGGTCAGGAAACCTAAGAATACTTCCAGTCTTCAGCAGCTATCTTTTATGCCAAATAAGTGCTAAAAAAAAAAGGGGGGGTAGGGGGAGACTTCTGGGCAATGTGGTGCTATAGGCAGAAGCACCACGCCGTCCCTCTGCAGCAAAAATCCGAAAAACTTAGTCAAACAGAGAAAAAGGCAGTCCTGAAACCCTAAGCATCAAATGAAGAGATAAAGAACTCAGCCAAGCACCAAATGGCATAAGAAACTGTCAGAGAACAGAGAGCGAGGAGAGGTACATGCAGAGGTCCCCTATCAGCCAGTGCAGCACGGATCTGCCATCTTGGACTCGTATCAGAGATCGGCGAACAAGGGGTACGAGAAAGCAGCTTCACGGAGCTTCCAGCAGGAGACAGCGACAACCGGTAACCAGCGATACATGCTTTCCCACCCCACACCCTTCTTTACCCCCACTCGGCCTTCTCTGCTTCCTGCAGCCACAGTCTCTTGGCCAGGAAGCACCGGCTTCACCTTGGTGTTGCTCAGATTCCAGCCGCCCACGCTGGCCAGCTCCGTAAGTGCCATATGTTGGCTGCTGGTGTTGCTTTTTTCCGCGTCTTTAGATTTCTTCCTTATCTCTCACCACCTCCTCCTCCTTTCTCTCAAATACCTGGCTCTGTGCACCATCTTTGCTTCTTCCTGAAAGGCTGTGAAACGCCACTAAAATGCGAAACTGCTTCCTGGCCCGTGCTGCCATGCTGGTGGGATCCCAGGGCTTTTTTTGGTTTGTTTTGAATTGTTTGTTTCTTTGCTTTCTTTTTCTTTTCTCGAATTGGGAGCCCGTTCTAGCTGGGCAGTATTGTGCGGCTTGGGACCTACCCCCTCAGTTTGCGCAGAAGCGCAGAGGGATCCCTGAGAGCATTTCTGTCTTCTTGGTGTGTTTTTTTTTTCTGTTTTTTGGGGGAGTTTTTCTTGTTCTTGTTTTTTATTCGTTTTGTTTTCTTTTCCCTTTTTGTCTTTCTTCATTACTCAGTTTCTCGTCTCTCTATACTTTCCGTCTCTTCCTGTTCCCTGAATACCTGGCACTGAGTGACACCTCTACCTCTTCTAGCCAGGGTGTATTTCATGGCCTGGGAGCAACTTCCCCAGACCTCACAGCCACACCGGTGGGATCCCTGGGAGCTTTGCTTTCCTTTTGTCTTTCTAAGTTTTATTTATTCATTTTTTCTTTTCTTTTCTTTTTTTCTTCTTCTCCTTTTTGTTTTTCTCCATTTCCTAGTCTCTCATGTCCACTCCAGTGGCAAGCTCCCCAGCAGTCTTTTTTGTTTGTTAGTATGTTTTTGGCTCCTGTTCCTCTCTCCTCTCTCTCCTGTCTCCCATACCCATCTTAGCTCCACACATCACAATCTCCCCCCTCCATCTTGCCTACCTGCACCATGCACTGAACATCACACCACCAAGCATCTAAGGTATGGCCTACCGGAACCTGCCCTGCACTGATTACTGGCCCGCCCTGGTAGCTGTAGTAAGTGCCACAAACAACCCATCCCAGCAACTCCTCTTCAGCTAGACCTGTCCTGCTGTACCATATCTGAGCAACTAACCCTGACAATTGGAGAAGGAGGCGAAAAGTATCATGCCCACGGACAAGCAAACAACAAAGAACGCGCAGCCTGCCTGCTCAAACATAGCCAAATAAAACAAAAAACCACGATGAGACAAACAAATCTACAATTAGTCAATGAGAAAAATAACTACCGAATGCCCCGAAGACAGCAGACAATATCAAAACATTTACAAAAACAGGACAGGATGTTTCCAGTAGATGTCCAAAATAAAACATCAGATGACTTTCCAGTAGAAGAAAAGGCACTAGAACTACCTGATAGGGAATTAAGATCTCTACTATTTAGAGCTATCCAAGAGTTGAAGCAAAATGCAGACAAAAATGAGGAAAGAAACAGACAAATTCACAGAAAAGGCAGACAAATTCATAGAAAATACAGACCAAAAAATGGAAGAATTCAGGAAAATAATGCAGGAACAAAATGCCAGAATGAATTCACAACTAGAAATCATACAAAAACAGCAATTAGAAATACAAAAGATAAACAAGATTTGAGAAATTGACAGTGTCATAGAAGGGCTGAGGAGCAGGTTTGAAACGGTGGAAGACAGGATCAGTGAAATTGAAGACAAATA